TTTGACAAGTCTGAGCTTCAGGGAGGCTCCCCAGTCTCAGAGCTGTGGGTGTCTTTGTTTCACTCAGAAACCAGCTCTGCGCCTCCGTCTAGCAGCCCTTAATGAGTGCGTAATTAACAAGGCTAATTGTCAGAGAGATTAGCAGGGCGATGCATTATTAATGCACGGCAATTAATATTTAATAAGTGTTTAAAAGGAGAAGTTGTCGAGCAAGTTTCCTGGAGCTGTGCTGGGGGTGGGATGTGCTGCGTTCGGCGGGTTGAAATCAATTAGAAACGCTTAACAAGAGAAATGTTTAGCTAATGCCAGATCCACGGCTGTCAAAACACCAGCCCTCCCTCCCTCCCTCTCCAGCTCACATCCCGGATCGCTGTGGAGATTCCAACAGCTCCCAGCGCTCCCAATGAGCCCGAGACGTCGGAACAGAAGCCTCCCGCTGGGACGGCTCGGAACACGCCCGGAACAAACAACGCTGTTTACATTCTGAAGAGCTGCCCGACACGGGCTTGTTGACCGTTTGAGTGGCTTTGCTCCTTGGGATAACGAAAATCCCGCGCTGAGGAAAAAAAAAACACACCAGGTGCTCGGCGCCTGAGCGTTTGAGCTCAGCTCCGGTTGCCAGAAACCGACTCATTAGGCTTCCGAAGGAACATTCGACACCAGAGCAGCGGAAGGCACAGGGCGGCGGCTGAGCAGGACAGGAAGTGTCCCCCGGGCCGGAACGGCACAGCGACCACCCAGGGGTGACAGGTCGCCACTGGGCGCAGCACACCTCTGAGCCACGAGCTCACCAGGGAAGCCAGCGGAACACAAGCGCTCATCTACCCCCCTGAGCCCCGAGCCCCACTTACACAATTCACACAACCTTCACTGCACCACTGCGAGTCAAGCTCTCCGCTCAAAGGTACAAGAGCTGTGCCCCCACTGGGACTTGAACCCGTGACACCCTGGATTCCAAAGCTGGAGTGGGGGGGGGGGAGGCAAAGGACAGAGATAGAGCTTGGATCCCCCACCAGACCTCATGAGCCTATGAGCTAAAACCGTCAAGTGTCCAGCCTTACTGAAGACGGCTTTTTCCAACCTTCGCAAGACCAAAGGGGAAGCAGACCACAGAGCTGACCTCCCTCCCCCCGCCCTCGTACCCCAGCCCGGGGGGGGAGAGGCGTTTAGAGACCCGCAGGCCACTGCCCCTTTCCCCCTGAGCCCTGTAACCCGCTGCCAGTACATCAGCTCCCAGCGATCACTGGCCTGTTCCTCATGATCACAAGCAGACTTGCAGAAGACAAACAAAGACGGAACAAAGCCAGGAAAACGAGGATGATTTGGACGGATCAGTCGGCTTTACTCCTTTTACAGCTGGGCCGCCACAGAGCTCTTACCGCTAATGCGCTACCTGTTGCAACAGCCGCTGTGCAAGAGCTTAGGCAGCCAGGTTGTGCAAACACCCTTCTGTTTGAACTAGGGGTGCAGGGCTCTGCCTTCAGACAGGGTGTGTGAGGCTGGCAAGATAGACAACTGGATAGGAGCCCTGCTGTACATGGGGCAGGGTAGACACTCATCTTACAGCAGGGGGCTACAGTCCCAGTACAGGAGAACAGTCCCGTTACAATAGGGGCTACAGTCCCAGTACAGGAGAACAGTCCCGTTACAATAGGGGCTACAGT